CACACTCCACAAATCCATATTCCATGCTTGCAAGCCAAGGCACAAGAGAACATAATGCATGCCCCCGAAGTATTAACGACAAAATATTTTGGGTGGACGATGGACTGTCGATTCTCTTCGACCATTGAATCGGCGATGTGACAGGTGGAACAATATATTTAACAAAAAATATATATTAATTTATTTACAGAAAATAACATCTGAAAGCCCTCTTAGCACAGTGGCAGATTGCGCCTGCCTAGTAAGCAGGAGGTCACTGGTTCGAACCCAGTAGGGGGCATTCTTTTTAAATGAAAACGACAAGCCATTGCGGACAGTACTCTCCACCGAGAGAGAACAATAGATGCAGAAGAAGAAGAAGGAGGACGCGAAAGCGCAGTGGTAGTTGCGCCTGCCTAGTAAGCAGGAGGTCACTGGTTCGAACCCAGTAGCGGGCACTTGTTTTAACAATGCCGCCTCACCGCGATGTGTCTATTTAGTCGACATGCGTAGGACATCACATTTTTTCAACTAGAACCGTTTTCTCTTTGCACTTTCCTGCTTCATAGTACTGCCAATGTTCTGGTGGCACGGTAATTGCGATTTGCGTTTGCATTGAATTGGGGATCACGGCTTGCGCGCGCCTGCCCGATTGGTATTGGCCGTGCGTTCTCACGCCATGCCGGGAAAAGTCGTATATCAGCCAAAATGCAAAGAGTTCATGGTAGCGTAAGAATGCAATTTGCCGCGCTACTCGGTAATATAAGATCAGTTAATACTGATATGGGGAGGGCGTTGCCCTCCCCATTCTCCCGATGCTTGCTCCCAAAGCTCAAATGACCTCGGACTCCTTCGAGGTCATTTATGTATCATCAGTTAAGTGAGATGCGTGGGCCGATTAAGATGGGCTGCCGACGATGGTGATAATTCGTATTGGCAAGCAAACCCAAGTTTACAAAAAGGTGTGTCTTCATGGCACTTCAGGATGGCAGACGCAGCGATTCTAGCATGGCATTACAGATGGTTATCGAACACTGGCTTCTACGCCGGTGTTATGAGCGAGGAAAGATATCTCTCGGAGAATCGCGATACAGATAGGGCTTCCGATTATGGCGTAAAAGAGAACTTCAAACAATTTACCAACAGGCTGTATTCATGACGTAATACGGGAAGTTTCCCAAC